GATGATTCTTGTAGAGGTGAAGATTTATTGTTGCGTACTCCTATACGCTTTTGTCACGACAAACTTTCTCAATGTGGCTGTTTACGCCGTTATTTCCGCTAGCCCGACCTTTGTTACCATTCCCTTCTGATAGACGGAAACTACAAAACCGTGGCAACATGAGATAAAACTGTGATAGCGCAAGCACAGTATGACTTTCAAATACGAGGGAAAATGGAATGATACCAAAAATCAAATATCTGATGCCTTCCTTGTTTTGTGATAATCTTGCTTTGATCTACGCAGTATTCTACTTTCAAATCAAAGCAATGTAACTTGATTGCTATATCATAACCTTATTATATGTTCAAGATAATCGATGACCATAAATACTGTATGTATTCATGGTGATGCAAATAAAGCTAGTTGCTGTTGTTGTATGTTCTTTGACGCAAAAAAAAAAAAAATGACTAGGAATAGGTCTAGGAACATTCATAAAAAGAAAACTAGAAACAAAGTAAACTCCCCGTTAGAGCTTACCTGTGAAAGAGTAAGAGAGAACCATCAATAACTGAGGACTGTATTTATCTATGTAAGAAACTACTTATGACTTTTAACAACGTAAACAGATCGATAAACAAAGGAATTACTGTTTTACATCATCGATTCTGCATTCGTCTCATTGTTTTGGAAAATGAAAACGCCATTGTTTTTTTTGGGAAGAAACAAACCTGAACAGATCATAAAAGAAAATCAAATTTGTACTAAACATGAATTTTTCTGTAGTTCGTATTGTGTGATCGTCCGGGTGAGGGTAGTTCTGAAAAGAACTGTTGTTGGTGACTGACGTTTCGACAACCTGAGCAGAAGTCATCTTCAATGTGAAGTGGGGAACCGGCCGGGGGTACTCTCAATAATGGCTAAAGCAGGGAGGCTCCGCTCAGTTGAAAGGGGTAGCTTTTTTCAGGTTTCAGATATATAAAAGAGGAGGAATTTCACAAGTTGAGGTATTTGAAAGGGTAGGGAAATCTATCATTTAGGTATTTAAAGAGGCCTTTAATTCAATTATCTCGAACAGACGCACCTTTTGGCTGTATCCGGTAATGTTTGAAGTTCTCCCGTAAAATTGTTCATTATTTCATTCCAAGGGTTTAGAAAAGGGATACAGTGTTGGTAAGTAGAAATGTGAACGGGGTACCTTTTCTGTCTAAATGGTATACAAAAGGGTAATGGGTTGGACATCGGGACGGGGCTTCCCCGTATCAAACTTCAGTTCTACTTCAGAACTACCCTCACCCGGACGATCACACTATGCGAACTACTGATAGTCCTGGGTTCAAACCATTTACTATGAATTGTTCTCTCAGCCGCTGGCCTGAACCAATATCGTCTCCTAACTTAGGTAAGACTATTCTGATAAGGTTCTGGTTCATGGATCTCGGACGTACGAAAATCCGAGAACCGTTCCAGAACTGAGTGAGCTTCAAGAACTTCAACATAATCTTCTGCAAAAGTAAAACAAACTTATGCAACGGAGGCCTTGGGGGAATTTAGTTCCATGGCTGAGCGGGAGGTTCCGAATAATAGGGGAGGGCTTTCCCGCGCCACAAATCTCTCTTAGTGTTTCTCTCGATATCAGCAATGCCTCTAGTCTGGACTTAAGTGGGGTAGCCTAATCAGTTAGCAAGCGGGATCGGGAGTCCAGATCGAGCGGTCTGGGTTCGAGCCCTCAGGGCCGGGGACATTGCGTTGTGTTTCTGAGCCTTTACAGCACCTTTGTCCACCCAGGGGTATAAATGGGTACCGGCAAATGCTGGGGGTAACCCTGTGATGGACCAGCATCCCATACAAGAGGGAGTAGAAATACTCCCGGTCGCTTCATGTTACAGTAACTGGGATAAGCTCAAGATGTATAGGCCACTGGCCTGACGCCGAAGTTTTTTGACTTAGTGGGTGAGTGTAGTGTTATATGCGCAACTGGCAATGAACGTACACGTTGCGTCTTGCTCACGAAGATTTTCCGAATCACACTGCATGCAGTAAAAACAGGCAGGTGAAATGAAACTACGACCGTTTACCAATGTGTTGACTGTTCGCCTCTAATAGACCAGATTCGTATTCTCGCTATTGGACCAGAGCTAGCTTGCAACTTTCCTAGTCCCTAGCTATAGGCCTCAATATTTTGCCGTGGCCAATCGTTTCGGGTCGTGTGGTCCGGGCCGTTCGTTTTCGGTTACGTCATCGAAATCAATTGACCGTGAAGGCCTGGGAGAAAGCCGTACAGGAACAAGGCAAGCTTGCGACAAAGGCTAGTGCGGGGAGTCTTTTCAAATGCAAATGACATTTACCTCTTTTTATTCCTCCGCATGAGCCTCCATTGCAAGCTTTCAGTAAAACTGATAATTCAACACCTTACCACAATTTTACTTTCCTCCGATCCCTTTTGAGCAAATTATAGACTAAACGTCTTGCCTCACGTGGTAATGGCTGTGAAAGGTTTCTCACATATATACCAAGGCCGGTTCGCATCACGCTTTCTTGAGAGATCAATCGAGTTCGCTCCCTATTCTGTTCCCAGGAGTTAACGCTTTTCAACCTAAACGGTTGAGAAACATGAACCGTATCAACCCAACCCGGTGGCGGTTGAAACGGTTGATCCCAATCTTGTCCCAATAGAACACGACCTAAGCTACCTCGAGCAATGCAAATTGGCGCGATCATCGCTCAATGATTTTAAAATGTTGCTATAGCCGAGCTCCGGAGGCCGGAAGCGAAGAAAAGGAAAACAAAAAGGAAACCCATGCATGACCCCATGAGTGGATTTTCTCCTGGTTGCAATAGCTATCGCTTTTGGTCGTGGGCGCGCACGCACGACGATGTCGAGCAACATGGCGGTCATACTCCTGCGAGCTAATAGGCTGCCGAGACATGCAGCCTTGGTTTATACCTGACTTTTTAGATATTGGACATCCATGTTATAGTCAATTGACACCTGTCAAAACAAGGTATCTGCTGACCCGTATCATGTGACCGTATCGCGGGCTCAAGTTTAGTTTTATTGTTCGGAAGCCGGTTAACGCATCCCAAAATGTTAACCGAAGTATAAATTTTTCTTGTAATATTGAATGCTTTTAACTGCNCGCGGGCTCAAGTTTAGTTTTATTGTTCGGAAGCCGGTTAACGCATCCCAAAATGTTAACCGAAGTATAAATTTTTCTTGTAATATTGAATGCTTTTAACTGCATAAGTTTTGTGTAGTTTGAGGTTATTCAAACTCAAAACAGAAGGCCAAAAAATACGTACAGAAAACCTAACCGCAAAGTTACAAAACTCAAGTCAACTTCTCGCTTATCCTAGCCTTTGAGCTTATCGGGTTTCCAACAACCCGACTATGAGCGAGCTTTTAGGCGTGGGGCGTGGCTATGTTTCCGGGTTTCGCGAGCACATCTTTTCTTCTCTGCGCTCGCAGCCAGAAGACGTCAGACCTACTAACATTACTCACAAATTTCCAGGAGTTCTAATTGCTGAACCGAGCCAAAACTAATTTTTTGGTTAGACCACAGAGGTCGTCTGGTTAGACCAAAAATTAACAACCTCCAAGCAGCTGCTTGTCAACAAAGCTTTCAATTTGGCGCGGTTACTAGGCGATTTGACAGGACGATCTTGGTTTCGCCTATCACACGTATACACGCTAACGATTGACTTCTAGTTGAGTCTTTCGGTTTCTGTTTGCCGTGTCGTTGAATTGGAGCCCTCGTTATAGCAAAGTAAGTGTATTTTATTTTACTGTAGCTGCGGGCTGCATTATGTTGCCAATGGCTCGCGCCTAGTCATAAGCTCACTTGCACGCTGTTTATCTTTTCAGCGTGCATAATGTCGATCGACCGGCGGATAAAAGCGCACTGGAGAGAAATTTTAAACAGCTGATTTTTAGGTTATGCAAATGTGCATATGATTTCTCCTAGAACCTTGATACCTTCTGTTAAAGTTCTTGACAAAATGCACTCTTGCTCTCTGATGAAATTAATGGGTCAAAGAAACTCTTAGAATTTCTCGGACAGATCGCAAGTTTCACGCCCGGACGCCAGATGCACAGATGTGTTGTCATCATTTTCAAGTGCGCAGTTCTGCGTCCGAACTTTTATTTCATCGGACTTAAGGCAGATATGTTGTAGTCGACGTTTTCTTCACATCCACGTTGGTTTGCAATTCTAGTTTAGGACATCGTTGTAGCAAACTCCTTCAATTCCAGGAAATGTTTATTTCCGATCGATCTCTCGCGGCGCATCTGTCAAACTGAACTTGTCACTGGCCTTGCTGCCATTTTCACAGACTCATTTGCTAGGCGGAAACTCTTCTTTGAACCAGCGTGTGCCTTTTTAGGAGACTTGGTTGAATTTTGTGCTGATATTAATTACACATGAGAGTTACGTAAGAAGAGCAATGTTTAGATTACTGTACCTTTGAGCTGCAGACAGTAATAGACGATACGGTTGACTAAGTTGAAAAGGTTCGTATGTTTTTAAGCTTAACTAATTGACAATTAGTCTAAAAACCCAAGTTTGCGAAAACAAGGGCAGTAGTCTAATTGTTTCAGTAGAAATTCTAAATTATCGCTGTCCAAAGCTACAATTTTATGTATTTTAACTGAAGATCAAGAATAATTGAGCCTTTCGAGAACATCCTGTTCTGAAACGTTGTTTTCTTTGCACCTTCGAGCATGACTGAGGCCCGGTTCATTTCTACCTGGTCGAATTCAATTCAACGAATTAAATGCGACAGAAATTCGACGTCTGAATCAGCTGCTGCATTTCTGCTGCAGGTTTGACTGGTCTTGTCGCATTATCCAACAGAAATGTCAAATTTCTGCCATGTTGAATCTAATGCATACATTATGTTTATGTATTGAGTCCTTCGTCGCTCAGTATTTTCGTCCGCCATATGGAATACTCTATGTTTAAAACATTTTCCACCGGCTGACATACCCGACAGTATAAATTCTGACTTAAGTGCGACACAAGTGCGACGTATGAATCCACAGTCGCATTTCTGCTGCACTTAATTGAATTGAATTCGACACGGCAGAAATGCGACATATTTACTGGGCCTGAGTCCTATTGCAGAACAGCTTACAATAGGAGAGCCAATCAGAGCTGTAGATTTCAACCAGAAAACATGAAAAGTAGAAGCAAACAGCCACGATTTTCAATGTGGGTTGAAAAAGTGCAAGATCACGAGCTGTGGTCCCTTTGACAGATCTGTATAGCACCCTGTAGTGTGTGAGCAGGCTCTTGTTCAAAGGCGAAGCTGCTAGAGATGAGGTGGGGAGCCAGCATGAATTAGAACCTACCTAGATGCTATTGTTTTCAGAATGCAGCCTCTCCAAAGGTGTCAAGATTTTGACAACTGGTTACCTGAATGTGTCAAATTTACCAGCCAATAGAAAATGAGCCAAACATCAACAAATAGAGCAGTAAGTTGCATGTTGATGCGTTTAGTTCATATCACATCTATGGATCTTTGCTATGGATCATGGGTTAACACCGAGGAAAGTTGCAAATATTGAGGTACGGGACTGGAAGTTCTGGTCAACAGAACTTACTTGAAGTATCGAATCATGATAGAACCAGTGGAGAATTATTGGTGGCAATGTGAGAACTGAATAGGAATACAAACCATAAATCAGCTGGTGTGTCTAGTAGAGTTTATAATTGAGTGCTAAAAATAAGGAACTTATTCAGGCTTTTTAACAACTTAAGATAACAAAGTGCAGTGAAAGGCAATACAGAGGTTTTTAAAAACAGCTCTCTTACTCAAAGTATGTGTCAGGTGCCAACCATAATGTCAACACTGAAAGGGAGTCCTTGAAATGGAACAAGTGTCATAAACCAACGAAATGTGAAAGAAAGTCTTTCAGAAGTTTCTCACCACAGAATTCCAGAGCCAATGATTTGAGCTTCTAGGCCCCTTGTCAGCTCCCTTCACATCATGGCTTCACCTAGCAATTGCTTTTCCCTGTTCGTGCTTTAGATCGACTAGGTTATTTGGGTTGACCAAAAGGTCAGTTTTCTCAAAGATTTTGTAAAGCTTTGGGAAAAAGAAGCTCAAATTTGGATTTTGAATGCCATGTTTGTGTTTGATTATCGCCAATGCTGGTTTTGTGATAATAATAATAGGACCTGTTGTTTTCCACCAATCAGAATGCTGTATCCGTGGGAGATGCCAGAGGTCGCTCTGTATTTGGAAAACAGTGGAGTCTGTGCAGGCTCTGATTTTTGTGCCAGGCTCCTTGCCGGCTCATTCGTTTGCCAACTTGTCTCCTGCAACTCCACTTTTGCTCCTTTGCCCCTGATGAGCTTGCAACTGACTCTCCTTATCAGAAAGTTTTGAAAAATCCAAAAGAACTGAATGATGTTCAATGCATTAACTGTATGTAACTTGAGGCAAACCCTAAGAGACGTTATGCTTGCTCATTCAAATACATGTCTCTCGCTTAAATGGAGCTTTCTTGCCAGGTTTAAAGTCAACAGAGTAATAATTTTATAGCATGTAACTTCATAAAATTGCAATAACCAGTAAAAAGCTTTCATTTTCTAACGTAAGGTGAATATCAATTTTTGTTGCTAGAATTTTATTCTTAAGAAGAGGGGGCAGGGAATTATTGAAGTTTGTAAAAAATTATCCTTGTACTATCTAAATGTTGTATTATTATTTTATAGTCTCCTTAATTTGAGTGGTTAACTGCAGCTATTTTTATATAACTGTTAACACAAAGTTTTTTAAATTATTAATAATGGAACATAATATTTGTGAAACTGAAAATCTACAGTGCGCAGTTAATCAGTGTCTGTAAAGCGAGGTTGGTGTAGCTTGATGTGGCTTCCTCTCTAAATATACTTATTTATTTATTTATTTATTTATTGTCCCTTGAATCACAGAAAAAGTATAGTCCTTATTGACTGGTGTCTGTAATAAGCAGGCCAATACAAGAGAGAATATATTGAGTGTTTGACAGGGACAAGACGAATTGTCTATAATAAGCAGGAGTGAATTTAAGGTCGGAGTGGGTGGTAGACTGGGTGGAAGACTGGGTCACTAGCTATTCTCCTTTTGGAGAAGCTAAAAATAAAAAGATTGTGAATATTATGGCAAACATAAATGAAAACACTTAAATTTACAGGTGCATCATTGTAATTTCTATTTTGTGACATTCCAGGTATTTTTAGTGCAACAGTTGTCAAATAGGTTTCAATTCTCAACTTACAACATTGATTTTTGGGGCACGCCCCATTGATTCTGCAACCCTAAGGTACTAGCCCGCCCCCACCCCTCCGAAAAAACCAGGGTCTACCCCTTTGCAAGTGGGTTTTTGTATTAAACAGGCCATTGTATAACAGAGTTCCACTGCACTCTAAAATATCAAGTATGGGTACTTAAACGGACCTTGTTAAATTTTAATGTCATGGGATGGCATGCAATAAGTTAAGGATATAAAAATGCAATGTCGTGTTACATTTACCTGTGACTTTTTTTGTTTTATACAGGAAGTGGAATATTTGCCGGGCTCAGGCTTGTGCTTCCATGGCGGAGGTGAATGTCTTGCTTTCTTGTGGAAATGACGACAAGACACTGAAGATTCAAAGGGACTGTACCTTTGATGAATTTAGGACACAAGTGAAGTCTCTCTTTCCTCATTTACCAGAGGTTAGTTCGTTTGAAACATTCTAACAGCAGGGATCCATAGTGGTTTTTTCTCCAAGTCGTCAGCTGGGTATGTATGTCAGGTGACATACTTGCCCTGGCAAAATTTTACTTGCCTGTTCAATAGGGAAGAATGGCAACAGAACAGCATGTAAATGGAAAGGTTATTTATTTATTATTTTCATGTGACCAGTCTCCCAGTATATCATGTCCGTAGTGAGGCTGTCGGTGGACACAGAAAATCCTGGTACGAATGAAAACCAAGGCTTCTTTGACTGCCATGAAGGCTGAAAGGAATGCTCTTGCTCTTCCTTCTCTTGTTTGGCTTCTTTTTTTCTGAAGTGTTACCATTACTAAATGACATATCCTGATCAAAACAGCTGATGCGATTGCGCCACATGTTTTTGCAGATTCAGTACAGAGCATTAGCGGTTGACAAAATGAAAATTGTTAATGTAAATGTAAATTATGTGCACTTTACTGTACATCATATTTTCAACTCTCTTTTAGGTTTTTTGGAAATGTGGTAAAACATGCATGGTCTCTTGTGTTTGAGATATTACTTATTTAGAGGATACAATATCAAAATCTATTATTAAGTATCATACAATCATGTAGTCTGGATAAGTATTGGTAATCATACGGTTTTCTTGTTCAGTTTGAAATTAATTTGCCCTGTTACTTTGGTGAGTGCAATTTCAGTTTTTTGAAAAACTCACAAGTGCAGATCAATTCCAAGTTGAACTAGAGAAACCGTATGATTACTTATTAGTATAGGTAATCATACGGTTTCGAGTTCAATTTGGAATTAATTTGCACGAGTGAGTTTTTCAAAAAGCTGAAATTGCACGAGCCGCTTCGGCG